TGTGGATTATAATTATTGCAAGAGTTATTTTAGAGAACCTGGCCTCCTCAACTATAGGGAGCGCGTTGTGTCTCAGAAACCCCCAAAATAATATGCATTAATATAAAAGAGGGGTCTCTCAATGAGAGAAACTAACCCTAATTTTACCCCAAATCTTTACATGGTATCACAGCCATGTGACGGCTCCTCAACCTTCTTCTCCTGAAGCAATCGTTTTGATCGGGCCCCTAAACTTCATCCCCATCCACGCTGATCATCCCCCCTGAACTTCATCCTCATTCACGCTGATCGTTTCCCTCCCCAAAGCCTCCTACGCTCCTGAACTCATCATCCTTGGCCTTCTGACGCAAGGACGCAAGTGAGTGATCCACGTGGAGCGGAGGCAGCGGATTACGAGGAAAAAAAGGCGCTGCTCGACCGTCAGGCCAAGCTGGACAAGGTGGATCGGGCATCGAGCGAACGTTGTGCTTGAACTGGAGGTCGGCGGAGGAGGGGGTGCTCATCAGGACGCGGCGAACGCTGGACGGTGAGCTGGCTTTCCGATCTCAAAAACTCCCAAAGTAGATGCGCCCGTGGGGTGTGAAGACTTGTCTTGAATCGGGGGCTGTTTCTACTTGATTCAGCAGGACGAAAGAAACAGGAGGGCTTGGTCTTAATCGGTTGTCACTGGTGCTTCGAGTCTAGGGTTTTGTTTTTGTTTTTCCCTTTTAAGCGGCTGGCTTTGTTGTGATTCGGGGATTTTTGGGGGAAGAGAGGGTAACTGTTGCTGATTAGTAATCTGTATTAGAAAAGAAGAAAAAAAAACACAAAAGGAGGAAAAATGGATTTGTAATCTGTATCAGATGATTAGGTAAAAAAAAAAGGAGAGAGGTTCTTGATCTGTAATAGTTTATTTAGGTTCCCTCGACAAGTCAGTCCTAGAACTGATGAGAGAAGAGATGATATCTCACTTTGTTGAGATATCTTGCTTCTGGTTCTTGTTTCCTTGGTGAAACAGGAATTCTTGTTGATCTATCTATCCTGTTGTACTGTCGAAGTGCTGCCGGAATTTTTTCGTTGCGCACCACAAGAATACAAGTTGGATCGATGACGAAGACTGAAAAAAATCCGATGGAGGAGATCATCAAGAAGTTGAATAACCTGAGGGTATTCCAGATCGAGAAGGAGATCAGCGCTATAGTCCAGGGAGAGAGGACTGTACAGGAGTACGCCACAGAGCTGGAGCGCTTGTGGCTCGATCACGATCACTTCTCGCCCCTAGCGAGTTGCAAGGACCCGGAGTGCAAGGAGCGCGAGGCCTCTTTGCAGAAGAGGACCATGTTGTTTCTCCGAGGTTTGGCTCCAGCGTATGAGCAGAGGACGGCATTGTTACTAGCCCAGACGAAGATCCCACCACTGGAGAAGGCAGTCTCGGCCATGATACAGGAGGAGAGCCGTATCAGGCTACAGTCTGAGATAGGTGGACTTACAGGGGAGAAGTCTGCACTGGTGGTATCCAACCCGGATAACACTGGATTCAAAGGGGAGACTAGGCAGTGCTTCAACTGCGGAGAGGTAGGGCATCTGAGACAGATGTGCCCTAAGCCACCCAGAGAAAGGAACTGGGGTGAACGTGGTCAGACTGGTGGCCGTGCAGGTCGAAGAGGCAGGGGGCGTGTAGGCCAAGGAGTTGCTCACCTAGCTGTGGCAGATGAGTCTCAGACTACTGCTGGGATGACTGGAGCTGAAATAACAGAGATGGAGGAACTACGTCTGTTCAAGCTTCAGGCTGAGAGTTCGAAGGGCAAGGGACAAGTCACCCAGGATCTGGCTACCACTACATGCTTTGGTAACTTTATTGGTTATGCTCATGCGAACAAAGGTACACAGGTTCAGGCACTTGCATCCACTAAAACTCATGTTGATTGGATCATAGACTCAGGTGCATCTAGGCATGTCACAGGAACATCTAGTGAGTTTGCATTATATTATCCGAGTAAGCATATGCATCCTGAGACAGTTCAGACTGCTGATGGGACATCCCAACCCATCAGGGGTACTGGCTCGGTCCATTGCACTTCATCTGTTACCTTGTCATCAGTATTGCATGTTCCTTCGTTTCCAGTTAACTTACTCTCAGTTAGCTCTCTCATTGATCAATTAAATTGCACCGTGTTATTTGATCGAGATTTGTGTGTCTTTCAAGAGAAGGAAACGGGGAGGAGGATTGAGACTGGTATCAGACGTGATGGTCTTTGGTATTTGGACAGTGTAAGGATCATGAAATTTTGATACTAGTTAAAATAAATCTTCTGGTATTTTAAAATATTCAATTATTATTTTTGAAAAAGAGTATTTGTATTTTTCCGGCCTTCTAGAATTTTCTATGATTTAAAAATCTGATTTTTATATTTATTAATGATTTTGAAAATTATAAATTAAATAGTTAGGTGAAAACTTTCAAATAAATAATTGTTTTATTTATTATTATTGTTATATTATCATTGTTAATTTTTACAAGAAAATTTTCCCTACTTATTTCTATTTTCCCCCTATTTATTTCTTTTATTTGTTAATTAATACCTATTAAACCCTAACCTTAACCCTAAGTATATAAATAAAACCCTCTTCCTCCCTCTTTTTCATGTTACCCAGCCGCCAGAGAACCCCCTCCCCAACATCATCTCCTTCCTTCTCTTTCCCCGCTCGAGCGCGTGCACCACCTCCGTCCAACCTCCCTCGAGCCCAGACCCGACTTCGCCGACCACCTCTCTCCCTGATCGCCGCTCCCCCACACCTCGTCGGCCGCCCCTTCTCTCTCTCGTGCTGCACGAGCTCGAACGCCGCTGCACCCGACCACGAACCTCACCACCTTTGTCACCTTCCCCGCCTCCGTCCAGCCACCACGCCGGCCTCTCCATCCCCCTGACGCGTCGCTGTCCAGACCCGCTGCCCTCTGACGACCATCGCCTCCATCGCACGCCATATGTTCGACGGTATGCCAATAGCCCCCGTTGAGCCCCTCAGTGATGACAACCGCGTCAGCCACCCCCTCGACGGCAAGCATTTTTGTCTTGCTTTTGTTAAATTCGTTCTCAATATTATTATTATGCAAGCATCCTTTTCCTCGATTATTATCATTATTAATTGATTTCTCTTCATGCAAACATTCCTTCAACTCGTTTATTTTTAATGATCGCCTCACTTTTTTTTTCATAATCAACAAGTTATTCTTGCCATTTTGATTCACATATTTGGATGCTAGTATGTTGCATCAGGGGCCGCTTCATTTGAATAAGACACTTAGCTTCCTACAGATTTGGTCTGGCCAAATTAATAATCATTATCCTCAAAGATTGATTTACTTATTTCTGCAGTAGTTGAGATATATAACATTAGATTTTGAGGTCTGTAACCGGTTCCAAGTTATACATGTTGGATGTATGTTATGTTTCTGATTTTCGAAGTCTAATGTACCGGTCCTAGTGTCTGACTTTTTATACACGAGGACTAGATGTTTATAACTCATTAGGAGAGAAAATGTATACCTATGACAGCTATATAACATTAACGGCAACCAATATTAGTTCACTTATCAGTCTTTGAGTAGGTCTCCAATTAATAATCTCTACTAATATCACTATCCAGTTTAACCTTGTTCTTTCTATAAGCCAGAAATAATGTCTTTCCACTCATTAAGACGAACGATCAGAAATTTGTGCAGGAGCACACAAAGACATGGAATATATTAGAGTGGATGATGGGTGATAATACTTTGGTTACTTACTGTATGCCAGTAGTGGCCGATTTAACAAAATAGACAATGAGATGGGATGATTTATTTAAATCTTGATTAGTTGGACATTGAAAGTGAGGTTTATGTAGCTGATATTTTTAGGGAAAAAAAACAATGAATACAAATTATCATCCAGTACAAGGACAAGCGAGCAATTAGAATGATAATGTTGTCCTCTTTATGTGTCTTCATGTGGGTCTGTTTTTATAAAGTATTTAAGTATTGTTTATGATTGCGATGCTCTGGTGTGATATTTATGACACAAGCACCCAAATCCATTTTTAGGTAGAGTGATCAACACAGGTTGTGTATATAAATGTTCACTGTGTGTTGTTAGATGTATTGTGTTCGACGAATTATACAACCCCTAATTGATTCCGTAGTCACATCCACTAGGTGGCTATACCTGAATAGATATCCTATACAGATATGGATCAGAGGCATGACCTAGTGACATCGACCATGTGATACATGAATTATCGATTTGTACTTGTTATGAACTCATGAGTTTAGAGAGTTCACGTTTTTTTTAGATATTGTGCCAAAGGAATCCAAGTGCCTAGATAGGCAAGATTGGAATGCACCCATCTTGATTGGACATGTTCTGGGTCACGGTTATTTTCATAGTTTTACAGAAGTCGTTCCACGGTAACTCTGTGGTTAGTGCACAACATTTCATGCACAGTCAAAAAAAAAAAATTTAAATTGACAAACATGAGGTTTATAAAGGGGAATTAGATGGAGAATATAACATGTATATAAACGGGCATATGCGCATTCCTGATATCCTGAGTTATATATACATGGGCCAAAGAGCCAATTCCTGACTTGAAGCCGTGTTCCCGGGACGGTTTACGGGGAACCGATTTATATACATGAAAATATTTTTCTCTAATTCAAATAACATGTAAAATAAGAATAATGTGCTTATATGCTTTGTGACAGATTTGGCATGCACGACATGTCCTGGATGAGGTTTTGGTGATGTATATTTGTATTGTTTGTTTATAGAATTTTTGGATTATTCCCTCGACGTACTCATCTCTCATGTTGTGGGTTTCTAAATCTTAACTTCTTTTAGTATAGGGTATAAGAAGTATGCTTTATGGTAGACCTTGTTTGATATCTATGTTTAGAAAGTTCTTTAATTGAGTTGTCATGTTTAGAAACTTCCTTTAACATGTAATTGATATCCATGTTTAGAAACTTCCTTTATCATTTTAATTGAGTTTTCATCGTATTTTGGTTTATAAGATAGGCATTTTCTTTTATCACTGAAAAATTTAGAATTTATCTTTTCTTTATATCTATCATTTATACTTACACGCTCACAATTTCCTCATTTTACATGCTTGCTGGGAGTTTTCTGACTCCCCTGGGGTTTGCATGCCCCAGACTTGGGAATTGTTCTTTCTTCGCAGGACCAAGAGTACTTTAAGGATTAAAACCAGCGTCAGTGATCACCTTCTCTCTCTCTCAGCTTCAGTTATTGAGTCTTTCTTGTAATCACTTATGGTACTTCAGACTAAGATGTATTTTCCTCTTTCCTACTTTGACGAGTTGTGGACATGTAAGAGAAATTTGTCTTTTCAGAGTTTTCTTTATCTATCTAGTTTCTTTGCTATTTTAGTTACATGCTCTATGTAGTAGTTCTTTTGGTAATATATCTGTATACAGGATGATCTAGAGGCGTGAATGTAACCTGTATGGTTGCATTGCCGACCGAGTCACGCTCCAAATTATCACGTTTTGGACCCGGGGCGTGACAGACAGGGAGACAGCAATGATTGCTGCTGCTGTTAGCGGAGGGCCAGAGGCAGAAGCGATGCTTCAACATTGCCGGTTAGGGCATTTATCTTTTGAGAGTTTAAATAGATTAGAACCTGAGTTAATGAAGAAAGTGGATAGAAAAGAGTTATTTTGTAATGCATGTGAACTTGGAAAACATACTCGTTCTACTTATAGAATGATTGGTCTTCGAAGTTGTGAACCATTTGCACTTGTCCATTCTGATGTTTGGGGACCATGTCCTACTACCTCTATCAGTGGTTTTAGATGGTTTGTTACTTTCATTGATTGTTATTCACGTATGACCTGGATATACATGATGAAGCAGAAATCAGAGGTTTACAAATGTTTTTAAGATTTCTCGGCTTATGTGAAGACACAGTTTGGAATACAGGTGAAGATTCTTCGAACAGATAATGGGACTGAGTATGTCAATAAGGAGTTTGCAGCTTTCATCTCTAGATTCTTCGAACAGATAATGGGACTGAGTATGTCAATAAGGAGTTTGCAGCTTTCATCTCTAATCAGGAAATTGTTCATCAAACCACCTGCCCAGACACCCCTGCTCAGAATGGGGTGGCTGAGCGTAATAACAAGCATCTACTGGAAGTGGCACGCTCATTGATGTTGACAATGAATGTGCCTAAGTTTTTATGGAGTGAGGCTGTTATGACAGCAGCTTATTTGATCAATAGGATGCCATCAAGAGTATTAGGGATGAAGACACCATGTGAGATGCTTTTGGGCTCGAATGTTTTTGTTGTTCCACCAAGAGTGTTTGGATGCACATGTTATGTGAGAGATCACAGAATGATGGTGAGTAAACTGGATCCGCAAGCAGTTAAATGTATCTTTGTTGGCTACTCATCAAGTCAAAAAGGATACAAGTGTTGGTGTCCCACTGAAAGAAGGCTGTTTGTCAGTATGGATGTGACTTTTCGGGAGTTTGAACCTTTTTATGGGGAGAAGACGGAGTTGAGTTCCTTGTTTGGAGATGGCTCTACTGATGCTAGTAGAGAGGGGGGGAATGAGAATGAGAATGATATTGTGGTCGGGATGATTCCATGTCCTCTTGAGTCACCGAGTAGTGATGGTACATCGCCGAGTAGTGGTGGTGACTTAGGAGTTGGTAGTCAAAGTCAGGGGGAGCTGAGAGTATACACGAGGAGACAGAAACAGCAGCATGAGCCGCTTCTCGTGCCTGTGTCAGTACCCACAAATGTTGATGACCCAAGTCCCTCCTCTCCAGTGCCTTGCTCTTCTCCTCCACCTGAGTCGATAGGTAACGATTCCTTCCCTGATACCTCTGATACTCCTGTCTTGCCCCGCAGAACCTCTAGAGTCAATGCTGGAAAACCTCCAGCTAAGTTTGGTAATTGGGATACTGATATTGCGAATTACATTTCATATGCATCCATTCCACCTGCATATAAGTCATTCATTGCATCATTCCAGATTGGTTGCTAAAGGCTACAGCCAAACATACGGCATTGACTATGACGAGACATTTGCTCCAGTAGCAAAGATGAGTACTGTTAGAGTGTTGGTGTCATGTGCTGCCAACTTTAATTGGCCACTACATCAGCTAGATGTCAAGAATGCCTTTTTGCATGGAGATCTTCAAGAGGAGGTATATATGGAGATTCCACCAGGCTTCACTACTTCTCAAGTAGCTGGGAAGGTGTGCAAGTTGAAGAAGTCTTTGTATGGGTTAAAACAGTCTCCGAGGGCATGGTTTGATAGATTCAGGTTGGCAGTTTGTGGTATGGGGTACAGGCAGTGCAATGGTGATCATACTGTGTTTTACAGGCACTCCAAAACTCGTATCACTATCCTGGCGGTCTATGTTGATGATATTGTAATCACTGGAGATGACGCTGAGGAAATCCTACTGTTGAAGAAGAAATTGGGAGAGGAATTTGAAGTTAAATATCTGGGACAGTTGAAATACTTCTTCGGAATTGAAATTGCAAGGTCGCGAAAGGGTATAGTGCTTTCTCAGCGGAAGTATGCTCTGGATCTTCTCTCAGAGACAGGGATGTTGGGGTGCAGAGTTGCATCTACTCCTATTGAGCAGAATCATAAGATGAGTGCCGAGGGTGGGGACCCTGTGAGTAAAGAGCAATATCAAAGATTGGTTGGACGACTTATATATCTATGTCATACGAGACCTGATATTACTCATGCAGTGAGCGTGGTGAGTAGATATATGCATGATCCCAGAGAGCAGCATATGGAGGCAGTTCGCAGAATTCTTAGATATATTAAAGGAAGCCCAGGAAAGGGGTTATGGTTCAGGAGTTTTGGACATCTGAGAATTGAAGGCTATTGTGATGCTGATTGGGCGGGTTGTATGGATGATCGTAGATCCACTACAGGCTACTGTGTATTTGTTGAAAGCAATCTCGTATCTTGGCGTAGCAAGAAGCAAGATGTGGTGGCTAGGTCTACAGCTGAGGCCGAGTACAGAGCTATGACAGTTAGTCTGTGCGAGTTGATGTGGGTAAAAAACATATTATCTGAGCTGCGCTTGTTTATAAGAGACTCCTTACAACTTTGGTGTGACAACAAATCGGCGATTAATATTGCAAACAATCCAGTTCAGCATGATCGCACCAAACATGTGGAGATTGATCGGTTCTTTATCAAGGAGCAACTGAATAGAGGAGTTTTGACTTTGAGCTATGTGAAATCAGAAGAGCAGTTAGCTGATTGTTTAACAAAAGGATTAGGTTCTAGAGAGTATGATATCTTTTGTAACAAGATGGGGATGATTGATATCTATCGCCCATCTTGAGGGGGAGTGTTGAGTTATTTAGATACTAAGTGAATTAGTCAATGTTGTAAGGACCTAGTTGTAAGAATGCATTAATATAAAAGAGGGGTCTCTCAATGAGAGAAACTAACCCTAATTTTACCCCAAATCTTTACATTACATAAGAAATAATTTACGTGAATTTTCTTTTTTGGAATTTTGGGGCCAAGATCGATGCCTGCCTAAACCCTTGCGTCTATCAATCCTACTCAAATTAGAAATTCTGATCAATTAAGAATTCTTAATCACTAATATGAATTGAGTACTTTTGATTATTAGTCCTACTTAAATTATTACGATTTTCTAATAATAATAATATCTATAATGATAAAGTAACTCTAGTTTGATTAGAATACTATCCACGAACATTTTGTTTACTAATCAAGCAATGAACTAGACGACTAGTGGATAAATTTTAATCATTTAAAAGCTCCTTAAAACTCTAACTAAGAAGTGTTCATGAATCCCTAATTTCTCTAATATAGAAGTTTTGACATTGAGGCTCGTGATCATACAATGATTTGATTATTTAGCCGATCACATTCAATTAAGAGTTCTCAATTTATTTGAGGCTCGTGATCATACAATGATTTGATTATTTAGCCGATCACATTCAATTAAGAGTTCTCAATTTATTTATTACCATAAGAACTTTTAGCAAGATGTTATTTAGCCGATCACATTCAATTAAGAGTTCTCAATTTATTTATTACCATAAGAACTTTTAGCAAGATGTTTAATACATTATAACGAATCATGCTATCTTCCGTAATAAACATCACAGGCTATCTGGTGATTTGCGCAAACTTCCAAATAAAAAAAATGTTGACATAAACAGAAGACAAAAAATCATAATACAACTTATCATGCTTGCGCACACGTACCCACACCCTCCACACATGCACATGGTGTTGTGCGCAGCGGAAATTTCGGCAGCATCTCCGGTGCACAAGGTGCATAACAAGAGATTAGATCACAACGAAATTCCCGTTTCACCAAGGAAACAAGAATTGAAAGTGCAATATCTCAACAAAGTGGGATATACACTCTTCCTCTCATCAGTTCTAGGACTGACTTGCCGAGGGAACCTACAAGCTATTACAAATCACAGCAAGACAAACTATTTTACGTGGTTCGGCAAGTTGCCTACGTCCAAGGGGCAAGGAGGGGGAAGATCTACTATTAGAGGGAGAGAATACAATTAGGGTTTATAATCTCGCAACCTAAACCCTCAAACAATCTCTCAAATCCCTCACAAATATCTCCCTCAAAAGAACAACCGCCAAAACACGCCCTTGCACGAAAACCTAGAAGAGACAACCGATTTTTCCCTCTGTTTTTGCTTGCACGAACCCTCTTTTGCACAGTCGCCCTTTTGCGTTCTCACCTACTCCCTGCCTAGCACTTTTGCACAAAAAACCTAGGCTAAAAAAAGGTTCCTATTTATAGTCTGTTCCACTAACCACGTCTCGTGATAACATGTCATGAAAACGCGTGTCCTGATAGGTTTTGCCAGCTCGTGGCCCCCAACGGAAACCTTTCACGCGTTTTTCTCCCTGCTGCTCGTGGTTGTGGCCCCCACAAGCAACAAAACGCGTTCACAATTCTCCACCTCGGTGAAGTTTTCCTAAAACTAAGCCGACACCAACTAAACCAAATGCCTCACTTGTTGCGTATAGTACGAAGTAAAACGATTCACGACAACGGACTCAATCCACAACAAGTCGAGACCCAAACGAGAATGCGAACACTCTCTGTAATGACCGTGAATTTTGATACTAGTTAAAAATAATTTTCTAGTATTTTAAAATATTTAATTATTATTTTAAAAAGAGTATTTGTATTTTTCTTGATTTTCTAGAATTTTCTACGATTTAAAAGTCTAACATTTATATTTATTTAAATGATTTTAATATTTATAAATTAATTTTGTGTAGTGAAAATTTCTGGAATTTATCTGTTACGCTATCGATATTGTTACATGTAATTTTGAATAATACGTTGTATTATTTTTATTATTACGTATATTTTCGTATAATACGTTGTATTATTAATTATATATTATTTGTATAATTAGTTGTATTATTCCTACTGTTATATATTATCTATCGTATTAGTATAACTAGTATGTTTTATCGTGTAGATAATTATCCCATAATTAATTGATTTTAAATATAAGTAAATATATTTTTATTATTAATTATTTCCGTTTAGTTGTACAATATGGGTATATTTTGACTATTTCGTATCAATTGTTGTATTAGCACAACGTGTACGTTTTTAATTGTAGATAATTATCCCGTAATTATTTTGATTTTTAAATACCAGTAGTTATTTCTTTTTAATTAATTTCGTTTTAAAATAATTAACCCTAACCCTAATATATTATA